TGTGTTTTCTACTTATTCCATTTTATTTCCCATCCTTTAAAGGCCCTGCCCATGAAACATTACCATCCAAATCATTTTTTTTCTTTTTGCTTAAACTATGAACTGGAAACAATGTTATAAAGTGTTTAAAACACAATATCCAAAGGAAAGTTGTGTGGACAATATATTCTACTGTTATACGATTTCATTCATGGTATATTTACCATGTAATTGAAAATGTCACCTCTTATTTTATGCTAAAAAAGGATAATTCTATTTCTGGGGCACGTAAAGCTCCACGTTTGTAACACTCGCCCACCCACACCAGAGTCTGTTAGTGCCAAAGTATTAGATTTCAGAGAGACGATAACTAGTAAAAACAAATCTCTTCCCAGGCAGAATTAATCCCCTCTCTTCTGAGCTCCCAGGGCACTGTAACACACTTCTGCTGTAGTTCTTTGAATTGTTATTAATTGTTTAAATGGTTTGACTCCTCCATTAGACTATTCTATGCCTGGCAGGTAAAAATTCACTGCAATTCGGATGACGAGGAGTTCAGTTTTTGGTTGGCTGAAACAGAAATTATTTTTTGAAAGATTTCTTTGGCTGTCATTTAAACATCCGTGAAACTGTACAGAAGTGCCAATGAAAATAATCTTACGCCTCACTATTTTTTGTCTATAATACATATATACATATACATATTTGTGCTGAGTAATTCCTGAATCAAGGTTCTTTATATATTTATACACACCGAGATTCTAAGAGGCAGTCTAATAATCTGGGCTTCTTTTCTGGTCATTTAACTCATTGAGCACCAGTCGCTGCCTCTTTGCAATAATAACTGTACCTACTTCATAGACTTAAAATGAGATAATACATTAAAGTGCCTAGTATAATGCATAACATAGAGTAGGTGATCGGAGTTCAATAAAGGCATTGATTTTTCATCAGAAAAGGGAAAACTGAGAGTCCTAAGGTATTAAAGACAAGTTTTACATTAGTTCTGAGTAATGCTGTAAATTGTCTTGCATTTCAGCACTCTGCCATCATAGTCCGAGATAACCCAAGCCGAAAAGCTAATGCGATGTGAGCGTTCTCTCCTAATTTAACTGCACATGGACCAGAGTCCTTACAATTACCACTACCTGTCTCGCTTACTGCAAACCAAATACCTCCCCTCTCCCTGATTCCTGAGCACAGACTAAAGTGCAGAAAGCCTTGCACAAATACACACAATCACAAAAAAGAGTAGGTACCTGAGCCAAGTGACATTTGTTTTCATTTAACGGTGGGTGAAGTGGCCCGGTAGGAGATTTTTATGAGGGAGCTCAGAACGGCTGGCTCCTTCTCATTCCCATCTCAGCTCCAGGGGGACCTTCCCCGAGCATCCTAGCACGGCACTACCCATGCCTGCCTCTCCGTCCTCTGTCCATGGTTGCATGTCATTGTCATTATCCGAGATTAACACCTTATTTTCTTATTATATTATCTGTTTCCATCCTCCCAGTAGAATGCAAACTTTGAAAACTCAGTCGTTATTTATTTCATGAATTAATAAATGAATGCATGCATCAATTTGCTCCTGCGTTTTTCTCCCGGCTCCTGGATTTTCACCTAGAATTCTCTCTAGGAGCTCAGGAAAATATCTGGATATTTCCCAATTTTATCAGAGAGGGAGCAATTAGTTTCCACTGCTACTTACCGGCGTATGCCTCTGCTATCGCCCCCTGCCCGGAGTTATTTTATTTATAAAGTTAGCAGTTAACCCAAGTGTCGTGTATGGACGTATAATCTGGAAGGACACTTGCTTGCTAGTTTAAGTGGAGTTTGGTTTTTTTTCCCCTGCTAGGAGATATTCTGTAGAGAAACACAACTGTGTTACACGCTTTGAAAGATGATGAGAGAAGAGAGACCTACAAGTGCACCGGCCCCTATTTCTGTAAAAGAGGTGGAAAGGAGAAGCCGGAGACTACCCTCAGGAGAGCTTGATCTATCAGGTGGAAGTTCAAATTGTTTCAAGATGAAAATATTCATTTTTCACCACGGTGGATTATTATTCTCTCTGTCATGATGAGGTCTGTAAATCTGTGAAGGGTAATTATATACAGGATAATCACCAGCTGTTGTCTATTTGGAAGGAGGTTACAATAGGAAAAAAACTAATGTCCTCAAATAGATGGTGGGCTTCTTGCGGGTAGGGGCTGCATTTTAAATGTTTGAGTCCCCTTTGTGGGGCTAGGACAGCTCAGGGTGACATAACGCAATGTTAAATATGCATTAAATTGCTAACAGATACGTACGAAGGACTGAGCTGAATTTCAATGTAAGGGAAACTTTGCTGATCGGGGAGTTAACTTAAAGGTGGATATTGGCTTTTCTCTAAAATTGCTTTCCAAGGAAAGCAAGGTAACTCATTAAACCTGATAAATGATATTGTTTCTAAATAGAATTAAATGACTTTTTTAAGTCCCTCCAAAAGGTGACCTTCTTTTATATTATCATATATAACAAGCACAAGTTTTAGCAGAGTTCATTTTTAATAGCAGACAATTTTCCTTCCACTCACTGCAATTCAAAAAGTCACTGGATTCTAGCATCATAAATGGCGCTAAAGTGAGATGGTCTAAATCCTGGTTTTGCAGATGTAAACCTTGCTCTGGAGAGTCGGGGCTGGGAGGTCACTCAACCTTCCCATTGTTAGTGGCAGAACTTCACATTCTCTTCCTCGGCCACGGGAAGGGGTTTGAGCGTCGCAGTGGAGTTTGCATCAGAAGGCTGTGTTTTAGTAGCCAAATGTGGAAGACAAGATATACAATTCTCTCTAAACTAATATCTGCCCCAAGGCAACATTTTTAAAGATGAAAAGGGGCATAGTCTCCTAAAGACGGGGAATTTTTTCAGTCTCACAAGAAACCTGAAAATAACACAAATGTGTGATTGCCACATGTTAAGATGCTTATTTTCTAAGGACCCCTTTGACCAACTAATTTCATTCAAAGATTTATTTGCAAATACAAGGTATTTTATTGGAAGCGTGGCTTGTTATAACCGAGCTGTGTCGAGATACTTTTGATTGAGTCACAGAAAGAAATATACTGTACTGTTCATCTCGGTGCACATCTATACCTACACCGCAGAAACACAAGTTCCAAGAAACCGGGCTCACAACTGTCACAAAAAATGAACTTTGCTATTTTCTATTCTACTCCACTTCACTTTTTTTTTTTTTGTAAGCGTAACCCGTATCCACCGAATTGATTGCAGAGCCCACGGCTGGGTCTTCTGCGTTTCCAAACACGCTGCCGATTCCTCTTCCCAGACCATCCCCGAGGTCACTGCCCACGCTCCCGGGAGCCACCTGCAAGGCCGTTTCTACATAGACACTATTTTGACCATGTTCAGACAGCAAGAGTTAAATGTCTGCAAACGCCAAGTGCTTCTAACAGGTGCAAACCTCTTTCGTGTGCAATAAACCTCGGCTGCTGACAAAGTTCATCGAGAGACCAGGGAGCCGGTCCTCCATCCCAGGGCCAGGATGTCACCTTCCCCGAAGCCTTTTGCCTCCAGAGATTTCCCTCCGATGTCTCTCACACAATTAGCACTTTCATCAGCCTGGGTCTCTCCTGCTTATACACACACATTTAAGGGTTATCATACCCCCATGCCTGTGTGCTCCCTGATTTTGAAACTTTGTCTACGTTAAGGTCAAGGGCTGCGTCCTCACACACCTTTAGTAGCTTTATGGAACCAAGTCCATCCTGCTCTCAGGTAACTGCTGGCCGGTCGGGGATGTAGGGTGCCCTAGGATTAACCTCCAACCAAAAAATCTCCCCCGGTGCTAGTTCTACCACACGGTGCAGAGCACAGCAGCAACCTCCACCCGGCAAAAATCTCCCGGCTCAATGTTATGTCCATGATTTGGGGCTACAACCGGGAAATTCTCGATGTTTGACCCCCAGCAATTGACCCTAGGGAGGTACTCAAAGGACTTTAATAATTCTCTGCTTGTTTAGCCCCCAAAAGGGTAATTAATGTTCTGAAAGAGAATTCTTAAAAGAGAGCATGGTCAGGTGTCGGCTGGTCAGCAGCAGCTGAGAAGCCGGGAGCTATCGAACCCGGGACGGATGTCAAAGCCGAGTGAATATTCATATCTAAATCTTAGATGCTCCTAGAGGTTTCTCCTATAGATTGTGTGTGTGTGTGCCTTTGCAAGACCCCTTTCCTCCTTGCCCAGATTCCTTTCCTCGTCCCATTTTTTGCTGCTAATAACTACATTCCCGGGAATAACGGGGCTGGAGAATATTCCCCTGCAGTGGGGTAATGCTGTAGGGGTTGAATGCAGGGTGAGCCAATGCAGCCCTGTAAGTCACCAGACTGCAGGTGGCAGGGAAGGGGCAGGGGCTATGGAGGGGAGACAGAGCCTGAAAAACAAAACCCCTGCTTTGCCCCTTGTCTGTCCTCTATTGGGTCTCCTGAAAGCCCCCAATCACACAAATTAGGGGGTCCCTGAGATCCCCCTGGGGTGGGGAGTGGGGAACTCCCCTTTGGGAAGACACACATGCACCTTTTGCCTCTACCAGTAATGTATCCCTCCAGGAAAGCAGCAGAGACCTGATGGGTGCAAGTTGCAGTCCCATTCACCGGGCACCTCTGTCTCCTGAGTGCCTAGGAGACACTCAGCCTGCCCGGGGAAGTGTGCTGTGCTGCCGTCTGCCTTTCTTCTCTCCCTATTATATTGTTATTATTAGTTCTCTTAACCCGCACACCATCAATCAAACAGCAGTTTTGATCATCTGGACGGTGGATAGCCACCTGGCAGTCCCGGGACGCGCGGGATGCTGCAATCTTAGCCCAACAGCTCTGGTACAGAGTTAGGGGAAAAGTGCCCACGGCTGCCTTGCTCTACCCAGCGGTGGGCTTCAGGATGCTAAGGGCTGCGGGTCCTTGGAACCAACGTGCCCCCCTCCCAAGGTGCCGCTAGCCCGGGCTGCACCTGGTCCGGATTCGGATCGTCCGGGATGCACCAGGCATCCACGGAATTTAGGAGGAAACAGGGAGATGTCTCGGTCCCCAACACAATTCTGGCACCCCAGACCCCCATCTTCCCAGCCGCCCGCACTGCAATCGCCCACCCTAAGCTCCCGTGCCCACCACCAGACCCCCTATGTGGAGCGCGCGCCGTTCCCCCCAAATCCAGCCTGCGCCCCCAGCTCGGGACAGCTTGCTTAACTCCGGACACTCGCCCAGGGCTTGCTGGACCACCGTGGCCGCTCTTCTTACCTCCAGCCTCCGGGATCCCTTTCTTGCCTCCTCTCAGCACCCAGCTCCTAGCCAAGCGCGCTCCCACCCATGCCCATCCCACTTTCTCTACCTTGCCCGCTCTTCAGAGGCTCCCAGGTGGTGCCGTCCCCGGAGTAGTGACTGAAGGAGCCAAGGTGGCTCGGTCTCCCGGGGTGGGTTCTTTTGGAAACTCCCCTCCCTCTGGAATTGGCGTCCTCCGGAGAGGGGACAGGGCTCCCACAAAGCTGTTTCCGGGGACGGTACGAATCTCCCAGACCCCCGCCCACCCTTCGCGCTCTTACCCAAGCTCTAACTCGGGTCCCTCTCCTGCTTCCTGTGTTTTCGCTGCCTTTGGGTCTCCCGGACTGGTAGGGTGAGTCCCAGCCCGGACTGGAGCGAGACAGCCGTGGGTGCAGCCCCACTCGCGGGTCGGGGGGGGGGAGGGGCTGGCGCGGAGGCGCACAGAGCTCTCCTACTCGCCCCTCCCTCTCCTGGGACCGGAAAGGGCTGACGGGGGCGGAGGGGCTGGGGGGTGGGGGGGGCTGGCGCTCATCAATTCCGCATCCACCTCCTCTGCAGCAAGGGGGGGGAAGGGGGTGGAGGGAGGAGGCGGGAGGGGTGGGGCAAGAGTGCGGGCGAGGATTTAAAGACTCCTAAGTCTGGAGAACTTTGCGCACTGCTCACAGCGGAGCCAGGAGAGCTAGGCGCCTGGAAGGTGAGCCTTCAGGACTTTGGGGAGATAGAAAGACAGCACAGGGGGAAAGCAGTTGCCTTTTAGCTTCTAAGACCAGCTGGGACTCGGGGTAAAGTATCCCTTAAGGTAGAATTAACGTGTCAGGGAATCGAGAGGGGGCCAGGAGAAGGGCCGGAGACTAACGCAGTTTGCTTTCATCTCCAACTAGGACAGGCAGCCCCCCACATTCTGGGTGGGCTGCGCCGCTGGGCCGGCGGACCTGCCTGGGTTGGAGAGGTGCGCACCGTCTGCGCCTCGCCCAGCACCTGGCCTCCCCGGCAGCCGCTGAGCGCTGGAGTTCCAGAGTCTGGAGGCACTACCTGAGAATCCCCTGCCCTTCTGCCCAGCTGAGTCCAGCTGCCCAGCGAAAGCATGAAAGGTAAGGAGGGTCTGGGAAGGGGCTTGGGGATGTTCCCAGGGACGGTTAACAGCGGTGGGGTCCGAGATACCTTGTTTTGTTTTTTTGCTGCAAAACTGCTGTTGGATGGTGGTGTTTGAGGTTCTGATGATGTAGGGTCAGCTTGGTTTTCATCTGCGTCACTTCTTCACCTTGGTTAAAGAAAAGATGGTGGTCCTGGGAAACTTACGGTTTCCTATGGATGGTTTGTGACTTCTATTATGTGGTGAATAGGAGATTTTCCTCAAAAGTTTTGATCTCCAATTTATTGGGTATGAACATTTTGAAGCTGAAAGTGATGGTGTTTATGAACTAACAGACAGTGTCGGCATCGATGTGATGTGTCATGGTTGTTCTGGATATTGGGAATGAGTACGGTGGTGAATGGAGTTGCTTGTTAAGTCATGTTTTACAGAGAATTATTTTCCAACAATCATTTATGCATAGCAGCCATTCTTCACACCTATTAGGAAAAATATGTTGTGTGCATAGTTTCCAAAAGGGTACTCTTTTTTTTCTCTCTCTCTCTTCATGATGCTCTTTCCAAGCTGGGGTGAGAGACATCAAGAAAAGCTCTAACAAATTAATTCTTCCAAAAATATACATTTTGCTTGAAGTCTAAGAAAATCCAATCAGAGTCAAAAATCAACAATGCCATTCAATTTTAGCCTGTTACTCGGGCTTTATTTTGAAAATCTACTAAGTCCCATGTGAAAGCTTTAACCTGATATTATGCGGTATAGGGAAGGCAGGGGTCCACAATGGATCTTCAGGAGACCCTCACGATATCATGGCTGTTGTTAACCTGAACCAAGTCATCTATGCAAGGCTATTTCTTGAATTTATTGGGTGATTGAAAGTAAAATGTTCAAAATAAACCCAAGTGTGACCTTGTAGTGCCTGAAACTAATCTTTAAATAGCCGAATGTCCGAGTTTGAGTCTGTCTTAGGTGATAAGAGTAAGCAAATATTTTATGTACTTGGACCACTTTGGCTTACCAGTAAAGACAAAGTAGGACTGAATGCAATTAGTGGTGTGGAATTTATAAAGTATAATTTGAATAGCATTTTGCTAGCCTACTATGTGCTTGGCTAAAGAACTCAGCTTTAAAAATTCAAAATTGCTGGTTTTCTTCCCTGGCCTTATGAGAGGAACCAAGGTGATTAGATTTGCAAAACATCTTTGCAGTTTCAGTGCTCTCGGGGGGCACTCATTCCTACTCAATATTTTAACATGGCTCAAAACATCCATTAGCCTGGATTTGCTTGAGTTCTATGCCTCTAATCTACTGTTAATTTTAGGAACTCTGGCTGCAAGAATAATACTGAGTCACATTGTAAAATGTTCTAAGATTATTTATTGACCACACCAGCATACTGAGCATAGTAAACATGAGACCCTTATTATAATTTACTCATAAGAACACATAAATAATCTCAGAGTTGTATTGTTTTATGATAACTAGAGTTGAAGAAAATTAGCCTATATAAATTTGACTTCTGTTTCCCATTTTCCTGTGTTTTTTGGAACTCTAGATAATGAATAGTGATGGGTAGATAAAGACAGAATTTGCTGCAGTCGGTTACAGAAATGGAGGTATGACTTAGCATCGGAGTGCCGGGGCAACTCAGTTCTTGGTGAATGTCTCAGACTCTTTTCAATGTTGACATGAATGAAGATATTATCTATTGTTGGTTTTTATCAGAGGAAAAACAAAATGGAAATAGGAGACCGGTGATATTTTAAATGATAGCCTAAACCAGGGTTCTCAACTCAGGCTGCAAATTGGAATCAATGAAGAACTCAAAAAAAAAAAAAAAGGTGCCCAGACCCTACCTGATACCAATTAAATCAGAATATCTGAGGAAGGGGTCTATATTTTGATATTTTTGAAAATATGATTGTAATGTGCAGCCATGATTGGGAACCACTGGCTAATATGGTTCCTATGGGATTTGAATCTGTTAATGTCGGAGGGTCTTAGAGAAAATAAATGCAATATGTTCTATTGCCGGTCTAATCTTTTCTTCTTTAAAAAAAAATGTACAACTTGATTTCCCAATTAGAAGAAAGAGTTTTTTTTCTTTTCCTTTTTTTGGTAGATATTTAAACCATAATAGCTTCTGGGGAAAAATTTGTTTTTTTCTCCAGAAAACAATCTATTGAGTTTGAATCTTATTTGTCTAGAAAATGCTTTAGTAAATTAAGTCTACCTATAGCAGATATTGGAATTAATGCTTTATGAAACATAGAACCTGACCTCATTTTGCTAAGGTCATGGTATGTAATGTGTAAATATGTACCCTTTTGAAAGGGGAGGAGGAGAAAAACAATACTATTCTCCTTGGCATACCAACTAACAGATCCCGGGTGCTGCGTATGTTCTAGAATGTTCACATAAATTATTTATTTAAAGCTTACAATAGCTTTATGAGGTACCAGCTATTATTCTGATTTATGTATGAGGAAATTAAGGACCCATTCGGTTAATAGATTTGCTCAAAGCCACAAACCAAGTAAATTTAATATGTGTTTGAACCCAGTTCTTGTTCTGAGTTCAATACTGTAATAAAATATATATTTACATACATAATTTATATATTTAAATTTAAGGACAGGAAAAAAAAAGCAGTTTTGGTTAAGAGCACAGATTCTGACATGGCTCTGCTTGGGTTTTATGCCCGGCTCCATCACTTTCTAAGAAGCTGTGGGATTTTGGGCAAATAATTTAACCTTTTCATGCCTTCATTTCCTTTGCAAAAAGAATTTTTCTAATGAGAATTATATGAGTTAATATTTGTGAGTCACTTTGGGTAGGTGCCTGGTGCATAGTAGGTTCTATGTAAGTGTTATATTTTTTTAAATGTCATTTATTCAGAAATATTTTTGATTGTTTATTATATGCCAAGAATTGCATCATGCCTGATGTTACATAAAAAAATAAGACATGTCCCAACCTTCAAGGATTTTGAGTCTAATAAAGAATGACCAATACATAAAAAGTCATTCCACTCAGGAATGATTATTTTCTTCCATTTTAATTTTAATTAAAAGCATTATTTTGTGTGACAACTGTGTGCTCTTCAATACTAATATGATCTTACAGAGGTCCATAAAATGAGGATTATAAAACCAATGATAATAACATGTTGTCACAATGGCATTAACTTGTTTTCAATTCTATTATCAATACACACATAATAACATTCAAATATATTTCAGGCTTTACTTTATGGGTTTAGAAAACTGATAATATGAAAAGGTTTCAGGTCTTTAAAATGGTATTTTCAGGGTGAAGAATTTAGGGGAGGGGGAAGAGAATTGGTAGAAAATGTCATCGGAATCTATTCCCAAATGCAATTTTCTTGAATTGTTTTTCGAAAAGAGTATTGTCTACAACATATTTTTGTAAAATAAAAAGCAAAATAATTTTAGGGTAAGAAGTGCCCATCAAGGAGTACAATTAAAGGTCTCTATTCAAGACTGGCTCGGCAAAACTCCATCTCATAGGAGCTGGCTACGCTTCTTCCCCGAGCTGAGCTGCTGCCCGGCATTGCATCAGACCTCCAGGGTACCTGTGACACCTGAGGTACAAGATTCTGTCTTTGTTCAAATGAAAGCCTCTCATTATTAAAAATAGCAGAGGAATTGCTATCCTTTGTCAAAGAATAACACAGACACTCTAAACCTATGGAGCTGTGTTTTCAAAGAAATAAAGTACTTGGCTCGGTGAAATAGGTTCTGGTTTTGTAATCAATATTTAACCATTTTATTTCCTTAAAATTTCTGTTTGCAAATGGATGTCTCTCTTTTCTCTTAGCAAGTCTCAAGGCTACTCCCAATTTTTCCCAAGGATGCTGCATTTTTCTTCCTCATCCTCCCATTGCCACCCCTCAAAAAAAAATACTTAAGTATTCTCCAAATATTCGGTCACCTTCAGACTCCCTGTGCTGCATTGAGTGTTACATAACATGGTCAGACTTGTTTACCAAGCTCCCATTTTGTTCACCATTCCTCGGTGATTCCTGGGGAACAGAAGACGAAAGCCACTCCTCAGCCTGGCATTAAAGATGCCTCATGATATAATTCCCATGTTATCTTTCTTATCTAAGTCAATGACAGACTTCAA